TCTCTGCCCACATTGTGCAGTGACTGAAATGCAAGGCACAGTGGATCGGCATCTAGAGGAGTATGGGGGTAGTGGGGTGGGGCTGGGGAGCTGAGGGAGCAGGGAGGTGTTAGTGAACAAGATTGAGTGCCCGGCTGGCTGCACATGGACTGCCCACAGTGTTAAAATAGGTCCAACCGGGCTCGATGCCTCCATGCGTGTCTTCCCTTAAGGGCCCATAGTGCTGCTCACGGTCCATATGCAGCCAGCCAGTCATTCCAGCCGGGAGTGGGGAGGTGTTGGTGAGGGACATGGAGTGCCTTGCTCTCAGAGGGCAGAGGGGACCCACTTGTTCCCCCAGATCTGTGCAGGCTCCTTCTTCCCTTCCATGGGGCCTCTGCAGCCCCACAGGCATGACCCGGTGTTGCTGGGAACAGCAGGACCATGCGAGGAGCTCCTCCTTGCCCCACCACTGCCCTGGGGACATGCCTCCTACACCTGCTGCTTCCCTCAGTGTAGCCCCATGTGCAGGAGGCACGCCGCCGGGGTGGTGCAGGAAGAGCAGCTGCTAGGAGATCCCCAAACAGCTCCTCTGTCCCCAGTCATGCTGGGCTGTGGAGGAGGGAAGCAGAGTGAAAGGGAACAGCGGCGAGTAGCCATGGGCCCAATTCCCTGCTGCCCTCTCCCACAATGCAGCGCAACTGGGGGCAGAGGAGCCACATGGGGATCTCCTAGCAGCTGCTTGCCCTGCGCCACCCCAGTGGTGACTTCCTGCGCACAGGGCTACACTGAGGGAAACAGCAGGTGCAGGAGGCATGTCACCAGGGCAGCTCACAGCCTGCCCAAGCACAGATCTAGGGGGCACGTGTCCCCATTGCCACCTGGGAGCCCTGCCCCACCCCTGCCCGAGCCCTCAGCCTGCAGCAGTGGGGGAGCCAGCTCCATGCTCCTTCTGCTGCAGCTGCCTTCTGTTGGGGGCAGGGAGCTGTGGACCTGGGTCCCTGGCCCCATGGCCCTGGCAGCTGGGAGGCACCTGCAGGGCAGGGAGGGCTGTGGGGGGCCTTTAATTTTAGTAACAGATTTTGGGGTTTTTATCAGAGAATTTGTGATTTTTTTTTTTATTGGGGAAAACCAGGATCCTTAGTAATCAGGTCTGTTACCTTGCATCTCCATATACTGCTGTTAACAAGGATGTTATCTCTGGAGACAAACTATCCCTGTTCCTGAAGAAGGGCATTTGTTCCCAAAAGTTTGCAAAGAACATTTTTTCCAACTATTTAGTTGGACTAATAAAAGATATCACATCTTCCCAAAGAATCATGTCTGCCTATGTTTTCTGGAGACACAAATCCACAGTTTTAAAACTGAAACTAAGCATCACAGAGACACTTCATGCGAACTTCTAGACTAAGGACTGAGTCCAATTGGGTAGAGTGGTTTGTTTTAATCTTTACTAATCTAGATTGGGCCCCTAATATAGTTCATGGCCTGTTGTGACCCATATAAAACTTTTAAAAAGGTTACATGAATACATTGTCTCAAATAGTATATAATTAGAAGTTATAATCCCTATTCCATGATGAAATCTTTGAGCTTTAACATATCTTAAATTAAAACTATCTTTATAAAAGGGTTTTTTTTAAATCATCTTGACAAAAAAAATTAATAAAAAGGTTAAATAATAAAAACAATCTGATTTAAATAAAAAACCCTTTAAAAAAATGGTCGATATTTATCCACCTTGGAGATGGTCCAAAGGTGTGTGACAAAGATAATAAAGGACTTGGAAAGGAAGTTATATAATAAAAGGCTGGAGGAGCTAGGCATGTTCAGCTTGTGGAAAAGATGCTTAAGAGGGGTTATGAGAGCACTCTTCAAATACACGAAAGACTAATATTAACAAGAGGAAAAGCACTTTTCTCTCTTGCTGTAGTGAGCAGGAGACAGACCAATGGCTTGAAGTTGTAGCAAAGCAAGTTTAAGCAGGATATCAGGAACAACTTCTTCACTGTTAGACTAGAGAGGCAGTGGAACAGACTGTCTAGGGGAGTTGTGGATTCTCCATCACTGGAGGTGTTCAAGAGGAGGTTGGAGAGCCACTGGTTGGGATGACATAGGCATAGTTATGCCTATGTTCTACTCTAGGTATGTCTCATGTTGAGGTGCTTTTAAGCCTTCCTCAGACGCACTGAGTGACAGCTGCAGCCAAGGCTGGGCATTTTGACTGGGGTAGTATCCTGCCAACAGTCCAGGTGGCACCAAAGCTGGAGGTTCCTGGCTAGAGGGTTTTGCCCCTCCACTCAGGGTCAGACTGATCACCATATTTGGGGTCAGGAAGGAATTTTACCTCATGGTTGGATTGGTACAGGCTGTGGGGGTTTTCGTCTTTCTCTGTAGCAGGGGACATAGCCCTCTACTTGGTATCCTTGAGCACATATTAACAACTTTTTATAGAAGCAGGACACTATACACTGGCTATCATGGTTCCCCTGCTTTACGTGTGGCATGTTAAGAGTGTTATGGCTTGTGGTCTCTCAGGGTTGTTGGCAGTTTTCTGAAGAGGTTAGATTATGGACTGTAAAAAATGGACTGTATAAAATGGTTTGGATAAGGATGATCCTGCCTCAGGCAGGAGATTGGATTAGATGACCCCTGGAGGTCCCTTCCAGCCACATTTCTCTTAAGATTTCTATGATATTCCCCATGTTAAATGGTGAGGGGGGCTCATCCTGGATTTGAATAAATACGGTAATGTGAGTAATCAAGTACAGGGAAAGCAGAAAAATGATAAAGTGTCATTGCTTAGTATTGTCAGAACAGTGAGATTTATAGATTCCATTAAACATAGCTCTGCATAGATAGGAACAGTATGTCATGTTTTGACTTGATTCTGGGTTGCTGAGACTACAGTCCAGATATTATGTTGACAAGTATGATATCCTGCATCATACCCATTCTTTACACAACAGGCCCAGTAGAGCCAAATTTTATAGATCTGCATCACAGACATGGAAAATTAATTTGCTTCCTGGTTAATTTGAATGTAGAGATTGATAGTTAATATGGAGCAGCTGTAACTGGCAGATTGATATGACCCGTACATACCATGATATCCGCTTCCCTAGTAGCGTATCGGAGATTAGGGTCCAGCCAATACATCACTGATTTTACCTGCTCAAAGTTGAGGAAGAGCACGAACACCAGAAACAGGAAATAGAGAACGCTGAGACCTGTAAGTAGTAGAATCATATTTATACAGACTGTCTACAATGAAATTAGCTGGGCCAGATAGTCAAAAGTTGGTTCCAAAGCAACATGCAAAAGCTGACACAGACAATAGCAAAAAGCACACAGAAATGACAGTTTACACAAGTCTGGATTCTGGGTCCACAATATTTTGCAGCCACAAATGAAATCTTGAAAATGCACCTGTTATACGATCCCCCATTGCATACTATTTAAATACCGAGTCAAAAATGTAGTGGGGGGAACCCCCAGAGCACAGAAACACAAGGACTGAAGGAATGAGCTTTCTGCTCCCAACTCCACAGGCTGTGGGTTTCAGTAACACAGCCCTTAAACCAAAGAATCAATTGCAAAACTAATCACCAGATTGACCAGTATACTATTTGGCTGCTATGAGCTACTTGGGCAATGCAAAGGGGCTGTAAGCTGAGCTTCACTGCCTGGAGTCCACTAGCTGCTTTGGTGAGCAGTTTAACTTGGTGGACTGATTTCTGCCATTAAGAGTCAAAATAAATAAATAAGGGTGATATGACATATCTTCAAATCAGTAGAAATCACATCTGGTAGCATTCTGTTTGGGTTTCTTATTCAGTGTCTGTGCATGAAACTTTCAATAATTAAAATAAATTCCTAGACAACAAATTTATAGATTGTAGCTGCGTTAGTCTAAGGACATAGGCAGACAAGGTTCTTTGGGTAGTTTCATAGTTTCTAGGGTCAGAAGGGACCTGAGTAGATCATCTAGTCCGACCCCCTGCCACAGCAGGAAAGAGTACTGGGGTCAAATGACCCCAACAAGGTGTTCATCTAACCTCTTAAAAACCCCGAGGGTAGGAGCATGCACCACTTCTCTTAGAAGTTGGTTCCAGATCCTAACTGCCCTGACCGTGAAGTAGCGCGTCCTGATATCTAGCCTAAATCTACCTTCTGCCAGCTTGTGACCATTATTCCTGGTCACTCCTGGCAGTGCTCGGGGGAACAGTGACCCCCAATGCCTGCTGATCCCCCCTGACTAGTTTATAACAGGCCACTAGATCCCCCCTCAGCCTTCTCTTTTGGAGGCTGAACAGGTTCAGGTCCCGTAGCCTCTCCTCATAGGGCCTGCCCTGCTGTCCCCTGATCATGCGAGTGGCCCTCCTCTGGACCCTCTCCATGTTGTCCACATCCCTCTTGAAGTGCGGCGCCCAGAACTGGACGCAGTACTCCAGCTGCGGCCT